CTCCTAGTAGCGATGCCCTTGTTACTAGTAGCTTCTTGTTACTAGTATATAGTAGTCTTTTCAAATGCCCAGGAGGGCGAAGAGCGCCCTTAAACGGCAATATTCAACATAGGCTCCTTCATTTGGAAACCCGTCAGCGCTCCTCTTCTCCCGGAGACGGGTCCAAGAGACACCGTCGAAGCCTGAGCACAGAAACAAACAACATGTTTCTAATAGCTTCTTGTTACTACTAGTAAGGCACCTGTTACTAGAAGCGATGCACTTGTTCCTAATAGCTTCTTGTTACAAAGTCTAATCACTCGTGACCTGGTAGCTTTCCCCGATCTGCAGGATGGTAGTGATTCATGATGACTGATGACAACGTTGTGATCATAATGACCAGGACACTGATCAAACAGATTACAACTTTTTTTGAAAAACCTAAAAACATAATGAGTTCTGTGTCCAACCGGCTTGCAAAAACAACCTGATTGTTTTAATTGGACAAATTTAAACATTGACTGTAAACCGCCTCCCTTTCAAACGATTTCTGAAAAACAGACGTTGCACAGGTTTGGACAGTTTCATTGGTTTCTGTCATTTGTGATACGAGCCTTGAAAGTATTTACCAACAATTTGGCAAGTTCAAAGTCCTCCCAAGACCCTGGTGACCTTCGTCGGGCGGACAGTTTTTTCGGGCTGAGTGTGCTGTGTATATAAATGTCGGGGGTGGCCTCGAGAATCTTGGCCTTGAATAGCACTGGAATCTTGATGGAGAGTCCAAGATTCTCGAGGCATCCGAGGGCAGAGCAGGTAGCACACAAAGAACGACAGTGACAAACAAATTTGTGAAACGTGCAGGCAGCAGAAGTGCAGACGAGACGCTGTAAGACACCAAGAACTTGGAAATCCATTCATCAGCATCTGCACGCTTTTTGATGGCAATGCCGCTGACGTGTGTCGGAGCCCCGGCATCCATCTGATACCATTCACCAAGTTCAGAGCTTTCGGCCACCCATCCACTCGAGGACTCTAACATCCCACAGGAGAAGCACTCCGAAGGAAGGGAGGTGGGTTTCACCTCGGCAAAGAAACACCTCCAAAGATTGAACAGAAAACCACAACCTAAAGAAAACTGATTTACAACACGATTCTGTTTTATTTTCATTATATTTCATTATTGCATTCGTCATCATTCGTCCAAGCTGCAGATGAAAACTGCCGCAAATTGTCGTTGACATCTACCAAGCTGTTGGATTCACACGTGGGACACACGCGCACAAACAAGCCAGCCCGGAGTGAGAGATTCCCGTACCACTCGGTGGGGTAGAGCCGCACAAACCTCTGCCGCGGTGTGGTTTGAAAGGCGCACTCATCCTACTAGATCCCCAAATCCATGGAGAATCACCATCAATTCATCTCAGTTTATTTGTACTACTAGGAACAAGAAGCTACTAGGAACAAGGGCAGTCGCTGACCTTCGAAACCCGGAAGCCCAAGTTTTTTGACGTCCCTCCTCGCAGCCACAGGCTTCCAAAACGCCACTGTTTCCTTGGGACAGAACTGAGTTCAACGATGACACAACTTAAAACTGCTTGTGGGCAAGGGAGACAACATGATCACAAGTACAGTATCTCTGCTATAGTCGTTGCAAGGTGTCTTGAGATGTGTCGTGTATCTCCTGTGTCGTCAAGACTTGTTTCATGTCATTGTGACAATTTGTGACAACTCTCCAATCTAAGCCTCTACGTGCAACGTGTTTAGTTGAATTTACATCCCCTTCAATCCCCTCCTCGATCTTATCAGCGTTTCCGAATGTTTCCGATTTCCCAAAAAATCGAAACAAATCACTAGAAGCGTGAGCTATCCTGCCTCCTAGAAGCCAACTTAGCCTAGTGGACTAGTCGCCTTACTTAAGTAGGGCCAGGGAAAAAGACAATGTCGGCAAAAACATACACTTTTTCGCCGGGTCTCCATCCCGTTGGAGGGATCTACCTGAAAGACGCGTCCATCGCCTCCGTCGTCATCGAAGTCCTTGCAGCTCGTCGTTTGCCGCGCAGCGATTTGGTCACCCACGGCCAAGCCCACGCCGTCCACATCCTGGACTGGGACGGGTACGTCGGGTACGTCTCACGGATGTGGGTCCAAGCAAACAGAAAACACAATGATAACACATGCACAAACATGTACAAACATGCGCACAAAACAAATTGTCTGGACATGTAGTTTCCATCAGTGATCTGATATGCACCTAGCCCAAGGCTAAGCAGTCAAGGCTCCCAAATTGAACAAAGTCGTCCAGAAATGCAGTTGGCATCAGAATAGGGGCTTGGGCCTGCCAACGTGATGCCACCAGCATCGGCCGTGTAATTGGTCCTTGGACGCAATTGCACCTTGCAGGTCCCAACGAGAACAAACTTGTAGCGTCCTTCCTAATAGCGATGCCCGAAATGCTCCGTTCGTAGCTGCTCCTAGAAGGCCAGGAGCCCCTAGTAGCGTCCTTGCTCCTAGTACTTGTAGTTTCAACTTTATTTATAAAGGTGTCCTTCCTCCCCACACCCACCAAGGATCCGGTTCGCATCAGCTGCCCAGCAAATCCGGTATTCCGCCACGTGCAGGTGCAACAACGACTGCCATTGGGTAACCAGCTTAGTGGGTGATACCATGATCAAATCAGCTTCTTCGCCAATCAGCTCGTCACAAGTGGACCGCAGAAAAATACCGGGAGGAGCCATGAAAGTCCTTACTAGGTTGCTTGGCAAGAGAGACACCTTCGATTGACTTCATTGGATTTATCCTTGATTGGTCAAAATCAAAAAACAGTTGAAGTTTGACACTCCTTCAAACCAATCATTTACCTTCCTAAGCTGGCTTGAAGGAGCTGTCACTTTAGACAAAATGGTCAAGGTTCATCCCCAGGCCCACCACTTCCACTTCGCAAATGGATCCCTTCACGCAAGTGGTGATTGGCTCACTGGTCGGGCCGAAAACTGTGAGGACCCCAGCATCCACCTGAAGGATAGGACGAAAAAGAGGCGCAGCCAGGCGGGGTGGCACAGTGTGTTTGTAAACACAGTGTTTGTACAGCATGCGTGTTTTATCCGCGCAAAAAATGTTCTTTGAGAACCTCGTTGATCTCGTTTTTGCAATTTCCGTCCTTAACAATTCCTTAACTACAGCTGTTCATCACAACATCTCCACCTGGAAGCTTGAATCCTGCAGGCAGGAACTACGCCCACTGCACCAACACAGTCGGAAGGGACCTCCTCGCGGTACAGGGCTCATGCGCCAAATCACGACCGACACATCCGACGTCGCCGAAGCATTGCTCTCATCGCTGATGTTGTCCGTGTCTGTGTCGTCGCCAGCGGTCCAATTTGCATACACTTGCAAGGACTTTGATTCGGCAGGGCTTCCACAGGGCTGGGAGGCATCTACCAATACCACATGGTCTTCCCCAGACAAACCATCACCACGGAGTTCCAACTCAAAGGGGAACCCGGCGAAGATTGAAAAAACTTCGCCACCCGTTCCCAAGTCAATGGGCTGCCCAAAGCCGAAGGTCTCTCCATCTGGACAAGGCTTCACCAAACACAAAGGGAGTTGCACACAAATTCGCAGGTCGCTGGGCAGCAAAACCTGGCCAGCCACGACTGCGAAATAAGAGAGGGATGCAGTAAGAAACCAAGTAGTCATGGTCATACATATATATATATATATATACCTGAGGAAAGGAGGGGACGAAAGCCAGCCTCCTGGGTTACGGGGTGCCCTCAGGGCAAGCCTGGCCAAAGACTTGGCGTGCAAGATGAAGTGATGGGGTAACATCGGGCAAAGAGTACTTTCATGGGGTGAAGTTGACATCGCAGCCACACTGATAGAGGGGAAAGTAGAATACATAGGTTTGGGGGGTGTGCCCTTTGTCGTCCCGGTTCAGGGTCGTTCTGGAGGTGAAAAAGGGCACCCCTAAGGAAGTGAGGGGCGCTTGCCTGCGGCGTGTTGCGAATCAGTGAGCAAAGACGGCTGTGGGTGTCCTTTTCAATCCGGCAACTCAGCCCGCTGCAAGCTGTTCTCTCGCATGCCCTCAACGGATAGATCATGCGCCCCATATAGGCGCCCTTTTGAGTCCAGCAGCTAAATAAAAATGGGCGCCCCTAAGCATAGGGAGTGCCCTCTTCAGTCCGGCAGCAACGCTAAGCTTGGCCATAACTACAATCTGTAAATCTGTTCTCTTTCCATGGCCTCCTGAGCCCCTCATGATGCTGATGATGCACTCTTCGCCGTCAATTACATCACTTGCGTCACAACACCCCTAAAACCACTCATTTTTCACTACCTCCGGGCCACCTCTTTTTTCGCTCTCCCCCACCAGGCTCTGGGCTCACCTCTCCCAGCTTGGGCACCTCGCAACTTCCCCCCCACACCCCCTTTCGCTCCCCTACCTCAAGCCTAGCCTATCGGCTGGCTTTCGTGATATACATACACACAATACTTATGATCAAAGGAAGTTTAGAGGAACTTCCGTGTTGCGAACATTTACATCACTCATCATACACCACTCATCATACATCTATACACCACTCATCATACACCACTCATCATACACCACTCATCATCCAGTTAGCTCTAGTTTCAAGAGCTCTAGCTCCAGTTAGCTCTAGTTTCAAGAGCTCTAGCTCTAGTTTCAAGAGCTCTAGCTCCAGGTAGCTCTAGCTTCAATAGCTCTAGCTCCAGTTAGCTCTAGTTTCAATAGCTCTAGCTCTAGTTATAGGTCTAGTTTCAATAGCTCTAGCTCCAGTTAGCTTCAGTTTCAACAGCTCTAGCTCGAGTTTACGTGGCAGGCACAGCGCTTTGTGAACCTCCATGTGCAGATTTCGTGGCAGGCGCAGCACTTTGTGAACCCCCGTGTGCAGATTGTGTGGCAGGCGCAGTACTTTGTGAACCTCCACGTGCAGATTTCGTGGCAGGCACAGCACTTTGTGAACCTCCATGCTTCTCCGAACCTCGACGGGGAAGCTCGGTTGCGAGACGGTCTCGGGTCATGGTCGGATCATGCTCGGATCATGGTCGGATCATGCTCGGGATCGTCCCTCCATTGTGATTAGAGTTTTCACTTGTTTCTTGGAGTGTAGATTTCGTCGCAGGCACAGCACTTTGTGAACCTCCATGTGCAGACTTCGTGGCAGGCGCAGC